TGCTGTGCGTCCCAAGAAATTCCAGACCAACGGTGCAGAATCATACCAGCTAAACTGGTCCGCAACCAGACCCAAGCAACATTTAATGTATGCTGTGGCAGAAGTCCGATCTGTCCTTTAGATGGGTATGGGGCGTTGCAGGCTAACAAAAGAAGCCATCTATGGGTGGACCCCTTCGTCTGTTCCCATTTGCATATTTTCAAAACAAAAATCAAGGCTTTGTTGGGCTACTGTATAAAACCTGGAACTCAACGCTATTCCTGACATTTGGCAAAATGTTCTTTTGATTTGTGTTCATTATTATTCCCCCAAATACATGAAAGAAGTCATAATTTATTATTATCTAGAAGGTGAAATGCAGCTCCAGATGAGCTGAGCGTTTAGTGATGTCATCAGTACGCTTCTGTTCCAATTGATCCAGATTTATTCAGCGCGCCCCCGTTCTCCCAGAGTCCACACTTTCCTGTGTTCTTCTCAAGGACAGACTTGGCGAGGACACGAGTCCATACTCGCGTTCTTGTGAATTGAGAAACGGCCCTAGTGTTAAAGTTTCTCATTACTCTGACAGTCAAACGCTGAAACAAAGTCACACCTTGTTTTTCAGAAAGTCGTTGACTCTCCTGAGCTCTGCTTGCTGCCTTTCCAGCGTGATGACGCTGGCAGAAAGCCCAGTCTTCTCTCTGACAGCGGCGAGCAGCTTAGCCTCCGCCTTCTTCAGATCATCCTGCAGGACCAACAGACGCCGGTCCTGCTCTCCTCGCTGATGCACCAGGGACCGGATCTGAGAAACGGGTTCACATCGAGTTATCATTTAAACTGTGGGAATTACTGGTACAATAACAGTTTTTTAAAGGAACTGATAATTTCACAGAGGCTAAACATCTTCACACTCCGGAACACTTTAAACATTGTAATATAAATGTTTAAACCACAAGTTTACCTCCTTTTCCAAGAGATTCAGCTGCTTCTTTTCAAAGGTCATTCCTTTTCTCTCCTTCTTGGAACTCGACCCCTCAGCCTGGATATGATGACCGGATTAGACAACAGCATCGTGATGGAAACAGTTCAGCTTTACCAGAAGAAGAACCTTTAACCCTTTATAGGGCAAGTTAGCGTTTTTTATCACTTGCATACCCCTTACAAATGGACTCCCCCCGTCCATCAGTAAGGTCTAGAAACACATGGCTGTACATCTTATTTTGGCATTTGATCAGTTAGATGAGCCCTTAAATGATATATTCCCTACTGTAAATTAATTTGAAAAATAAAAGTTAAGTCAAGAAACAAAAAGGTAAAAAGCTAATTGAAAAGTTAAAAAGTAAAGTTAAAAAGCTAAAAAGCCTAGTTAATTATATTTAGGTTTATAAACTAAAAAATGTAAGTGCCAGTATCAGCATTAAAAGAAAAGTCGCTCATATTCAGAATTCAAACTTCTGAAAGTTCTTTAAATCTGAAATGATTCCATCGTGTTCAATAAATGATCAGTGTTTTTAATTCAGAGTAATTTTCATGTGAATGTGCTTTACTGGAGGCATCCATGTTTGTCAAAGAACACTACTGCCACCTACTGGTTAGTGAC